CATTGATTATTGATTGGCGCTAATATGCCTATTTTGCGCGTGTGGCGTTATCGATCATTCGCTTTACGACCAATAGGACTTGATGATCGCAGCAGGAGGCTATCCAGGGCGAGGATATCGGCAGGATGAGCAAATGACTGGCGCAGCACGCGATCTTCTATTACTTACCGCGTTAATTGATATTGATGTGACGTAGTCCCTTTCGAGAAAGCTGATCGATATTAATGCGACGCACCTTATGGTATTAATGAAGAAATAATGCTGGTTATATTAAATTTCCGTCCCGATATTCTTTTTGACAATTATTGTGTCAATTTCGATCCCCCGATAATATATATTTTATATATAACGCCATTTTTGTGATAATAGAAAAAATAATCAAATGTTAAAAAAAAGAATGAACTCTTTAAACGAGAAAGAAAGAATTGAATTATTGTAAGTAACAATATTAATATTAATATTAATTTAAATAAGTAAAACTCTTCTCTCGACCGTGCTGGCAAATATTATTTATTAAATCACAACGTTTCGACCCTTCTTTGAGTCCTAATCAAGTGATTTGTGAAAATAAAAATAAAATTATCATTTTAAGATGTCAAGAACGAATATAGTGTCGGTTGGACAACTCGTCTAAGACTCTTGACATCTTAAAATTATAATTTTATTTTAATTTCACAAGTATATCTAGATCACTTGATAAGGACTCAAAGAAGGGTCGAAACGTTGTGATTTAATCAATAATATTTGCCAGTACGGTCGAGAGAAGAGTTTTGCTTTTTTAAATTCTGTCTGGCGATTCTCAAATATCTACGTTTTTATTAATTTAAATATTTATATTAATATTAATGTTAATATTAATATTAATTTTAATATTCATATTAATATTAATTTCAATATTAATATTAATTATTACTTTTATTAATTATAATAATAATAATTTAATTATAATAATATAATTATACATTATAATTATATTATATATAATTTGACTATTCGAGCTATAGAGAGATAAGTAAAGAAAAAAAAATAGTTTGGCGAGATTTTTTCAATCTCGTCGATTTAAACAAGTTTGAAAGGTGGAGAAAAAATGATAAAGAGGCGAATAAGGATTTATCAAGCGCATCACCCTGTTTCTAGCAATTAGTCATGATCGACGTCACGCGCCGAGTGTTTCCAAAGTCCATCGCGACTAATTGCCGAGAAGGCGACGGCCACGAAGTAGCCATCGGAAATTTGTCAATTGCAGGTAACTTGGGCTCGTTCCGCGCACAGTTTCCTCGCAGATGTTCTTGATAGGCCAAAGTTACGGGCTACGCTTGCGGAGCGCCTTACTTCGACGGCCGTTCCCTTGTACACCAATTTCTTTATCCCCCTTCAACCCACCGCCTTCACTTTACCTTCCCCCAAGTCACCTTTGTTACTTTCTTTGTTTTCCTTCCCTGTCAAATGTCGCGATCATAAAATCGATACAGCTAAATCCAGAGGGAATTCAGACATAGATTTGAAAGCTCAAAAATCAGAAATTATTATCTATCGCACTATTATTTTCAGACACGGCTCTCTGTAATTTTTATCAAGAAACTCTTGAGAAAAAAAAATATATATATATATCTCGTACTACATATTCCCATTTTGGAAGCGTAATCCTCTCTTATTTGATTAAAAATTAAACTTACTTTAAAGATGTGTCCCAATTTTTATGCTAACATTTCGAGAAATATGACAGTTATGTTAACAGAAATCTTAAAAAATATAACAGCAAACTTGTTTCAAGTAGCGGAAACACCAACTCATTAAGTGTATTGCTACATGGAAGTACTTCGAAGATGACAGGAACCATTAGTGAGTAACTAATTGAGGGGTTTGAAGGTAAAACCCGGTAAACTCGAGTAACTGACATTTATGCAAATGTCAGTTACCTGATTTTACGTCCAAACCCCTTAATTAAACACAGTTGTCAGATAGATATTCTAAGAACTTGACTAAAAAAAGTCACGTCGGAAGAAATTCGTGCATATAATTATACGCAATAATTATGTAGGTATATATGTATTTTGGAATTATTGATTTCGAAGATGAGTCGAATATCGTACATCATCATTTATGGATAAAATTGAAAATTTTAGCGTCTGTATATGTATATTTAAAACAGAATTTGAAGATAAAAATAATTTTTTAATACCAATAAATTACTAATGTATTTCGCATATAAAACAGGAAAGTACTTTTTCATCATTTAGGTGTGAAACTATATAAGAGAATGCTTCTGCTTCTCGTATTCCAACGCGCGCGTACACAATTATCCTCTTGAAAAAAAATCTGCAAAATTCTCATATATACATATATTCTTACAGAAGATACAATACAGCATATCTCTCCCACATATTTCTCTCTTTCCCCAGGTCTCTATTGTTCCCATTTTAAAACTGTTTTAAGTCCATTTAAAAAACCTCCCTCAAACCCTATTCAGAGCCACTGCTCCTGGAGGAAGAACACGGTCCGGCCGCGCTATTTCGCTATTTTCTCAGGACTCTCGCGTCGCGACGCATCGCGTCGCGTTGTCGGCCGGATCTCGCGCGTCGGCCACGTGACGTGGCACGTATACGCGAGCGTCGGCAGGCGTCGAGACGCTGCCGGAAAAGGGGCGTCCGCGGCTTTATGTTCCCGTTGGGAATTCCGTTCTCATGCCTCACGGCATTTTCGTTTCACGTCGACGTTTCCCGTCGCTATATATATATATATATATATATATATACAAAACTACCGCATCGCACATGCATTGCACACGTGGGCGCGGATATAGAAGGTGCGCTCGCGCACCTTCTCAAAGCCGCGGCTGTCAGACCGGACACGAAAACTTTGCTGGATCGCCTGCCGTGATCCGCGGAGGAGTCACGTGACGCGATACGCGTGTCAGGATCGGCTTCGCGAGACGATCGCGTGCGCAGATGTATTAGCAGATTGTTGTTGCAATTTAACGTTATGTGATTAGCGTGCGCCGTATACACGGCACGTGTATAGCACTTAGCAAATTGGTTCAAATCAAATGTTAACGGATGTTTGGAGATATTTACGGCACTTAGATTCAAAAATATTTGCATTTCGGGGAATTACATACATGTCGCGAAGGAGATCGAGTTTATATTCAAGACATCTTACAAGACATATATTTGATGCGAGATGGATCGAGATATAAATAATTCAATATTTTAGATTTCTAATTTTTTTTCGAGTTTATATATATATATAATTTATTAATATAAAGAATGAAAATATTTTAATTTAAGAATATATCGAAATTTAAAAATATCTCAACCTGTGCAGAATAATTCTGTATAAAAATATTGTTACGAAAATACATATATTCGTTATTTTCATTTAACAATATTTTTATACAGTAGAACTTTATTAATTTTTGCCCTCTGGGGAGCGATACGGACAAAAAATTTTGGGAAAATAAAAATTAACGAATACTCACTCCACTGTGTGAACTGTCCAGTCCCTATTTGCGCGAATACAGCATGTTGAAGTTGTTGTCTCTGACGTCATGTAATCTTTTAAAATATGAAAGGAATACAATATTAGTGTGAAAATACATTTAGAGAAGCATTAAATTTAACGTAGACAAATTTCAAGAGAGTCTAGTACATATTTAACCCTTAATTGGTAAAAGTGTGCTAATAGCAATTTTAAACTTAATATAATATTTATATAATAATACAATTTACAGATTAAAATCAAGTAGTATTGATTTGTCTTATTTCAGTAAATAATACAAAGTGCTCTATAAACCTGTAACCATGTATAATTTTAATAAGATACTAAAATTGTATAACTCATGCCCTGAGAAAATCAATATAAAATTAATTAAACAAATTCGTTGAAATTACAAGATTAAAAGGAGAATATTTCAATCGTATTATACGTATAAAGTTTTATTCTTTACATTGTATTATTAATCAAATGACAATATTTTTATATCATGTGGTTTAAAGAAGTACCACAGTATCTGATGAGAAGAATAATCCAAATTATCAGAAAAGTAAATTATAGTAAATTATATATAGAATTAAGCCATTCGTAACTTTTTAACAGTTTAAACCAAAAAAACTTTTTACAGCAAAATAATTAGCAAATAAATATACAATTTATTATGTTCCAATAATTTGACTTATTGTTAGATAGCTCACAACAATGTACCTTTGATGAAAATTAAATAGAAAAAGGGGGAATAAGGAAAAAAATTACAGTTATAATTAAGTTTCCAATTTTGAACAAGTAATCTCCATGTAAAAGTACATGTATTTTTTTCAGGGTACAAATACAAATTCGGGTATAAAGGGCCCTTACTGATTTATTTGAAAGATAAGGAAAAAAATAACAGTGATAATCAAGTAATTTTTCGAGTTTTGAGAAGCAATTTCCATGTAAAAGTACATGGATTTTTTCAGGGTACAAATACAAATTCGGGTATAAAGGGCCCTTACTGATTTATTTGAAAGATAAGGAAAAAAATAACAGTGATAATCAAGTAATTTTTCGAGTTTTGAGAAGCAATTTCCATGTAAAAGTACATAGATTTTTTCAGGGTACAAATACAAATTCGGGTATAAAGGGCCCTTACTGATTTATTTGAAAGATACCACTTTGAAAGATAAGGAAAAAAAAAAAATAACAGTGATAATCAAGTAATTTTTCGAAGCAATTTCCATGTAAAAGTAAATGGATTTTTTGGAGTGTGTGTAAAGTTTATCGTGAAATTGGAGCATTATCGCGGCGAAGTACGCGTACGAGCACTCTCGAATTTAAGGATGCTCGAACAACTGTTGCGTGCATTCTTCGCAGCTTCTTCCGCGTCGTCTCACCTTCCGCTCGACTGCACGCGCAGCATGCGTCGCGACGCATCGGGGAGTCGCGTTTGCTCCGGAATATGCGCGGCGGGTTCGCGCGTGCGAGAGGTCGCCGTGGGCGGCGGACACCGTGGGGTTACCTTAACGTCGCGGCGCGCGACGTCGCGGCGTTAGTTTGCGTCTGTCTAGGGTCGCGACACCTCCACCTCTACGTGCTGTAGTCACCGCTTCTCGCGAACGCGAATATCGAATAAACGAGGAAACGCCAACATCTCGCATCGAGGATCGAGGGATCGACGTGCCGGATTCCGCGCGCGGTCGTTTGTCTCTCCGCCCCATTTTTTCGGACGACCGATTTAGTCTCGAGAAAGTTTGAGGAAAATCGTCGGGTGTTGGAAGAAGAAGAAGACCCAAGTATCCTCGAAACTGTCTTAGAATTTTTGAGAATCCTTGGAGAGGTCTATGAGACAAGTCGAGGCGCCGCGTATACTTTAGGAGAGTCTCTCTTTCTCTCTGAGATATCTCTCGCATAAGTTTAAAGCATTTTCCGGACAAGTTTACGAGAGACGGTAAACTAGAGTCTGTAAAAAGCATGACGAAGGTCGCAAGTTTTTGAGAAAAGAGATCCTGTGTAAATTTTGAGGTGTGTAAAAGAACAGTCGGAAAAGTGTTATCAAGAGTCGGCGAAAGCTCTGAGAAACTCTTTTAAGAATCTTTGAACATTTTTGTTGAGAAGCATCCACACAGATCAGACATTTTTTTAACAATCTGCGAAAATCTCGAAGGATTTGCAAGATTTCAAAAACGTTTTGAGGATCGTTGCAAGATTACCGAATAACTTTTTGCATCGCGCAGATTTTTAGTCACGTGGTCGGAGAGTTTTCCAACTTTTTAAAGATCCACGTTTAAAGCCGTGTGCTATGTTTTATAACATTCGGGGAGAACTCTTTTCAGTTTCGTTTCTCGATTCTTCGTATAGAAGCTAAAGAAAGATTATTCGATCGATGTAAGCTTGATAAAAGTGATTAATACTCAAAGATTTAACGTAGTGTCTCGCGCATTTTGCGATTCATCGACTGATTATTCAAGATATTTTTACAGTATCTCTAGCGCAAATTCTCAATCCGGGCGAATATTTCTTTAAGATTCCCCCTCGAATCTTTGCCGTAGGATATTTTTGCTCCGCGCTTCGAGAATCTTAAAGTGAAAGAGCTTGACATTTAAAGGGCCTTTGGTTATCCTGCCCCATCATGACTCCGAAGAGTTCTATTTGAATAGTATTGAATGCAGTAAAAGCGACATAAGTGGAATTATCGAAGACCAGTAAGACTTTGAAGTTGATCGATCTGCAGCCAGATATTTTTGAGAAATCGGTGAATTCAATTCAGCTACTCGAGAGACAGAGTTAGATGGATCTGTTTTGATATCCGACAGAATTGCTTTCTCTCTACTGAAGTATTTTTGGTAAGTATTGACAATCTTTAATTATATTTGCGTTCCGAATGTAGATGCTGAATAATAAAATTAATATTGAATGCCACAACATTAGTTAAATTTTCTTATTTATATCATCATTCGACTCTTGATTTTTTTTGCTATAACATATGTACTATTGATATTATAATATAGTAACAATGTATATATATATTATATAAATTTTGAGAAAAAATTATTTTTAAAAATATTTTTAGATCTAGAAAAAGTTTGATCATTTGTAAATATGTAACATATCATTGCTCATTGTTAGTTGTTTACGCAATTCTTACATATAGTTAGGTAAGTAATATTCTTTATCTATATTTTTCTAAAGAATTTGTATGTATTTGTAGATTGTAACTGTCCGAAAATTTAAAGCTCGTAATCGGAAAGAAAAATATTGAAAAATATTTTCGTTAATCAATGTTCAATCCAAACATTCAAGCGCATAAAATCTAAAAGCGGATTCATGAACTTTTATCGTGTAATTTATTACATACTCTACGTTACGTTCTCGAATATGCATCGCCTGGTATTGTCACATGTTTCGAGCGACGTAGTGTTTTACATAGTAATAACATAAATATTCAACTATCTACAGATGTAAATATTCCAAGCACCGCAGTAATAAAATAAATATCCGGATAACGAAAAGCCTTCAAATATATTCGCGGATATATTTAGCCATTCTATAAAAATTACGATACCAAACGATCACGAGAAACGTGGGGTATAAAAAAAAAAAATAAATAAAAAAAAAACGAAAAAGAATATCGAGAGACACCACACCTATTCACAAATATCAAAATCCACAAATTTCAAATACACACACAGAATGCAAACGCATTTACGGATATACGCGAGTTTTAATCGCGTCATTTATTACACGCGCCACGTTATATCTTCAAATATACACCGCACATCGTATTGTCGCCTGTTTCAAGCAACGAGTTAGATTACTGCTGAGTGAACTTTACAACTTAATTCTGTTTCGCATCGCGCAGCTGCGGATATCAGTCTACACGATTGCTCGCGAGCTTTACGCGCTTTACTCGCAAAATCTCGACTCCGGCGCGCGACTCATACAAAACTTGACGCTAAACTCCCCCGTATTACCATTGTCGTTTGCTTTCATAGACTAGGCGACGGGCACCCTCGCCCTGCACTAAAACGCCGGAAAATTCGTTATCAATTTCTGCTTATCAGGACGTGCCGTCGCTCCCGAATAAGGACTCGTTTATCCACTCGGACGAGCACTGAAAGCGCGCGCAGGGATTAACTTGAAATCAGCGCCGCAGCGTGTACTGATTACGAACAATTGTAATTAAATTCTTTCCACGCTAATGACTGCTGGCACTTGAGCTCCGTGCAAATGATATTTAAATTAGCACGCGTCCCGTATACTAATCAAGTCGAACCTCCTCGCGCCGCGGATGTGCTCTCTTTCTGCCGAATTATTAATTAATGTCGCATTACGATCAACTTCGCGTGAGCCCTCGCAAAAATTGGATATTTGGCCTGAGATTGATTGAATAGTCATTTTCATAATTCTGTTTTTAAAATTATCATCGACATTATATTTTAATATTCATCAATTATCTGTGAATCTCAGTAATTCTCAAAGAGACAGAGCGTCAATTTTAATATTAACAATTTATTTCATATTTTAATCGAACATTAGTTGTTAATGCATAACATGTGGAAAAAATGTGTATAATTTAAATTATTTGTAAGAAATTACAAATTTTTGTCAATTTATTTTTTAACAACTTTTTCAAATGTGTTTACTCAGGTAATAAATGATTATAAAAATTCTTCTTATTTGTTCTGAAAATAAAAGATTAGAAAAAATCTTTAATTCAGAATCTAGGAATTGTATATAGAAATACTTTAGATTAATCAGACTTAGGTTGCACAATCGTTTACGTCAAGGTGAAGAAAATATTTCATGCGATTTATTTGTAGTATGTTTACGAAACGAAGATGAGAGAGATGGTTCCTCTTGAGAAATCATTAAATAATCGCGATTGTTTACCCAAAGCCTCGTAAACGTGCAGTTGCTCGCCAAAGCAACCACTCGCCGATATCTATCCGCAAAAATAGTTTTTCATTTGCCCAAGAAAAACAATCGACCGTGAAATCGATGTTAACCAAAAGCTCGTTTTGTGCGCACAAAGAAGCAAATTCTCAGAAAATCAATAATAATAATCATTTGTATAAAAAAAAAATCAGAGGTAACAAAAATTACTATTAATATCTCTCAAAGAGAGAGAAGAGAGAACAGATTTTACGAAAAATTAATCAAATTTAAAAAATTATAGAAATATATAGGTATGTCTTGCTTTTTCTTTAATGTTTATGTTAATGTTAATTAGACACCACTGCTTATACATTTTTAAAATTTTTTAAAAATTATTCTGGTAACTACATCTTGAATTATACATCTAAAATTTTACTGCACTTAAGTCAGTTTGAAGTTGAAAGAAACATAAAAGAATAAGTTTTAATCTTATTTTTTAATAATTCCGATTTTGTTGATTCTGGAAGTTGAAAATTAGAATATCTTTAACATTTGTAAAATTCTTATTCAAAGAAATAAATAAACGATTTTATTAAAATTTATATATTCTTAATAATATCAAGATAAAAAAATGCAAATAAGATTGAAGTACCAGAATAATATTGACGATCTAAAAATCTAAATAATTATAAGCGCTTGCATGACAAAATTCAGCTTTGATAAATTATCTAAAGTAAATATTGTACATATATTTTGTTTACTTGTATATATAGAGAAAAATTTCTTATTTCTCCAGAGAAAATATTGAAATGCAAATGATAGCAAACAAACATGATATATAATATTTAAAGATGAATAGATGTTATAGTAATAATTATTAAAATATTCAACACTAAAAATATAAAAAATTCTATTTTAATCTAATTTTTTTAAGGTGATCAAGAAAGAATAAATATACGGATAAAAATGCGATATATGAAATAAACGAATAATTCATTTCGTGTTTTTCTGTTGTTTTTTTTTTATGGAAATACATCAATATAAAGCTCGTATACGTGCTAATAAAATTTCACATATCTGTCGAATATCAATGGATGGTTTCAAAGCATATTCCACCGCAATTGGTTAATCATAGAATTTCATCAGAATGGAAAGAGTTCACCAATTCTCGATTTCGTGTATGACTGTAATTCTTGGTGATTTTTTGTGTGTAACTGTGTTCTAATTTTGGACGGTAAATATTGTTAATCTCTTTTCAACAGTTATTTACAAAAAAATACAATGCTTTTATTGCGTATAAAGAATAATCAGGATTATTAGAATTTTGTATACATATATATTCTGATTATGCATTTTGACTTATTCCATTCATATAATGTAAAATTTAACATAAATAGCCTTATATCAATAAAAAGATGGTAGAAATAAAATACAGATAATGCATACTGTATAGCGTGTAAGTAAATGTAAATAATTTTCCGAAGAAAATCGTATCCTTTTTGAAATTCTGAGAATTCTGTAAGAAACAGCATAATATATATATATATATATATATATATATATATTTCTGTGTAATATTAAATATGACCTGGAATGACAAATTTCTACGCGCGAAAAGAACAAATTTCTATAACATAGTCCAAATAGTAGTAAATGCAGTTACATTCCTGCTGCGCAGAAGTGCATCCTGCATACAGCCGGTCGGCTGCGCAACATTCCGCAATAGCTGCGGTCATTTTGAACACGCTGGGTTAGCCAGGAATGTTAATAGAAAATACTCGGTGTCTCCAGACTTTAATTATGAGGCGCGAATGGAGATCGCGAGCGAGGGAGTCAGGCAGAACGAGAAGAGGGATGAAAGGAGATAGAGGTGTGGGGTTGGGGGTTGAAGGGGGAGGAAGAAGGGGCACAAGAAGGAAGAAAGGGTAAGAGCCTCCCTCGTGAAGTCTCGAATTACAGAGGGTGAAAATCGTGCGGCGTTTGTTCGACAGAAGCATTGGCGTTTACAACGAAGAAAGTGTTGGGAATCGGCAAACTCTCGGACTATTCACAAGATATTGGGGCAAAACGACGAGTTCCAGGGGTAGAATTCTGCGAGCGTTTTAAAGAAAAATATTCTATATACGTCGCGGACGTATATAGAAAAATTCGTGGGAGAGAATGTGGAAAAGAAAAAGCGAGAGAGAAAAACGACGAAGGGCGAATTGTGGAAAGATTACGGAGGCATTGAGAATGAGGGTGGGAGTAGAATAAGAGCAAAAGGATAAGCGTCATTGAGGAAACGCCGTAAGTTTCTGCTTCTTCTTTTCTTCGTGCGACTTCAACCGGATCGATTTTTCGAGGGGGTTGATCTTCGAAACGAGCCGCCAGCGCCGCAACGTTAAATCCGCGATTAAAATGCATTGCGTAAAATCAGAGGGGCGTCTCGTTTCGTTCGTTCCTGCGCTCCGAGTAAATTACATACCGTCGTCAATCCGGCTCGGATTTCTCCAAAGCCTCGGGTTCACGCCAGACGGAGCAAAGCGGAACAAGGGAGAAGTAGAATGGCGCAAAGCGCAACGAAGCAAGTGGAGCAGGGAATATAGAAACGTAACATTCCAAGAAGGAGCAAAGTAAACTAAAGCCAAGAACCGGATCGAGAAAAATGAGAAAAGTAAAGCAGAATCCGAATATAAGACGCGAGATAAAGCGGCGCGAAGTAAAGGAAGATTAAAAGAAACGGAGCAATGCAAAATAAACTTATGTGTACGGCTGGGGGCAAAGTAGAGTGAAATAAAGCATATAGAGGGGACAAAAAAAAATTACAGCGGGACAAAGTAAACTAAAGAGAAGTATATGGGATGGGGAGAGCAAAGCGCGAAGAAAGCAAAGTAAAGCGAAGAAATAATGCGAAGAAAATTAAAAGAAACGAAGCAACGCGAGGCAAGTAAAAGAAAAATAGAGCGATGCGCTATATATGTATAATAGA